TGGGAAGGCCTTATAAAAGTGATTTTTATTTTTATTTTGATGACATATTACGTAAATTAGGTGTTGACGCAGCGTTTCCTTTATTATTTCTATTGGCAATAAAACTTAAATTTTTTTGATAATATTAACACGAAAATCGTGTTATTGAGTTGAGTCATAGACAGGTAAAAATTATGGCGTGAAGCCATTAAAAGAAATACCGGCCATCTAGATAACGCCCACCTAATGATTTCAAAGAATATTCACACATTGTAATATTATTAAAGTTCTTTATGTACTGTGACACTTCACTTGGCTTTCTTCCAACACTGTCAGGTAAAGTTTTATATACTCACGACTTTATAAAATAATGGGAGATACAAAAGTATACATGAACTTGTAGAATTAAAAAAACGTACAAATTTAAACGTATTTGCAAGACATTAAACAACATGTTTAAGTAAATGGACTCTAATGTTTCCGACAGTACCACTACATTGCGGCCTAGAAAACCGAACTACGATATTTGATATAAACACATGTACGGATTTCATGTTATATGTCATACTAGCAATCCGCCCCGGCTTCGCATGGGTGATTCCTGGATCTCGATAACAGCACAGCAGCACATACCGGCAATCCAAATCCAATATTTAATCTAAATCATACTTGAATTAACTTAATCATACACAATTTTATCAAAATCGGTCCAGCCGTTTAAGAGGACCTCAGTGACATGACATACGGTCAGAAGAATTATATAGTTTGTGAGGGTAATATTGGTAATATGGTCATCCGGTTAATATGGTCACTTTCTTATAACTCTAAAACTACAGCCTTGTTTGCGTAGATGGCTGTGATACGATAACTCTTCATCAGTCAATCAAATGATATAGGTTCAAAAGGGCGCTGCTTTATCGACGTCATTTTGACAATTGACAATATAGTAAATATTTTAGTTGATTTTACTATTGTGTAGTTTAGTTAGTTTCTTTTTTATTATTTTACGATTTTATCAGGAAGATTCCACTTCTCACCTCTTGTTTTAGTCTCAATTTCGCCCCTTACAACACCAAAGGGATGTCGTAGATTGTCATTCGCCGCCAATGTGTGAGACATTGTACCAAGTGGCATATAAAATAGCAGTAACCTAATAATTTCAATAGTGCCGGTACCGGAAAATAAACAAGTTGTTGGTGTAGAACTCAGTTTTAGACTACATAAGCTACCATGGATTAAATACTTAAAATAATGAAAAGTGACAATTCAATTTCATTTTAAAATTCGTTAAAGAAAAAGAAACTTTGATAGAAATAGGAATTACGAACAAGCATACGGGTCATTTGATAGCACATTGATGCTGCAACCCTACATCTATGCTTGTCTAATATCAAAACATAGGTGCGTTGTCACCCCTGAGGACGAAAATGGAACCTAAGTTCAGTGATGAAACTTCAAAAAGGGTTACACAATAACAAGATATGCAATAGAATATATATAATTAACATATATTCATTAAAGAAATTCCGAAAGAAGTGGAAAGGGGTATGGAGATAAGTGTAGATGAAATAATGAAAGCAATGAAAAGCATGAAAGTAGGTAAGGCAGCTGGATATGATAGAGTATCACCCGAGATGCTAAGGGCTGGAGAGGGAGTGGTGGCAGGCCTGCTGTACACCTTGTTTAATTTGTGTTGGGAATTAAAACGGGTACCGGATGACTGGTGTAAAGCAGTTATAGTACCAATATATAAAGGAAAAGGGTCACAGCAGGACTGCAAAAACTACCGTGGTATCAGCTTGCTTAGTATTGTGGGTAAACTGTATGCTAAGGTGTTAATTGAAAGAGTTATGAAAGAAACTGATGGAAAAATTTGGGATGTGCAAGCCGGTTTTCGAAAGGGTATGGGGTGTACAGATCAAGTCTTTTCCATGCGCATGATTGCGAAGAAGATTTTGGCTAAAAACCAGAAAGTTTTTTGTGCGTTCATGGACTTGGAAAAGGCTTATGACAGAGTGGACAGGAATGTGTTATGGCAAACATTGAACTCATATGGGTTGAGCGCTGGTTTGATACAGGCATTGAGGTCTCTTTATAGGGATTCTAGTGCTTGTGCCAGGATCAATGGGGTCTACTCGGACTGGTTTGGCATCCGAAGAGGTGTCACACAGGGCTGTGTGGCTTCCCCTTAGCTGTTCAACCTATTTATGGACAGGTGTTTGCAAACTTTGAAAGATGAAGAATGTGGGTTAAGAATGGGCGAGTTAACCGTCAAATGCCTTTTATATACCGATAATCAAGTCATATTTGCGTCATCGGCGGCTGAGTTGCAAATGATTGGTTACATTAATGAACTGGGCATTAAAAGAAAGGGGAATAAAAGTGAACGCAAGTAAGACGAAAGTGATGGTTTTTGAAAGAGAGGAAAGCAAAACGGTATGTGAAATAAGAATAGAAGGAGAGTTAATTGAGCAAGTGGATGAGTTTGTGTATTTGGGATGTGTATTTAGCAGGGATGGTAGATATGATAGGGATATAGAACGACGAGTAAATGCAGAGAAAGGGGAACCGAAGAACAAATGTGTAAAAAAGGCACATTAATCAAATCTGTAGTCCCACAAGAGTATTTGTACACAAAGTATTGTATAGCAGGCGGGAAAGGAGAACGACGAGTAAATGCAGGGAATAGAGTGAATGGGGCACTACACTCTATTGTGAAGAACCAGAATGTATCAAAAAAGGCACGTATGGTAATTCATAATGCTGTGTTAGTCCCTACTTTAATGCATGGTAGTGAAAGCTGGATGTGGCAGAAGGAGCACGAAAGTAGAATAAATGCTGTAGAAATGCGGTCTTTAAGGAGTATGTTAGAGTTGAATCTGAATGACAGGGTGAGAAATTGCGTGATAAGAGATAAATGTGGTATGCAAGATGATGTTGTGACCAGGATTAAGAAAGGAATGCTTCGGTGGTTTGGTCACGTAGAAAGAATGAATGAGGAAAGAGTGACAAACCAAATTTATATGGCAGACGAGACAAAAAGTTTATCGACCTCATATTTGAAAATGGGCCACGGTTAAAAGTACCCTTAACCGACGATCATGTATGCGTAGATATATGGATGTAAAGGAGGCGAAAGAGGTATGTCAGGATCGTGTCAAATGGAAGTCCGTAGTCTCTGCCACCCCTCTGGGTGACAGGCGTGAGTGTTTATGAATATGAATGTGTTTATGATATTCATTAACTTTAAGCGAGAAATCATTGTATACGTATTGAAAAAGTATATTATTATATTATAATTTGGTTTCTCGGAAACTGCTCTAATGATTTGGATGTAATTTTTGCATTTAAATGATGTTATAATTTTCAAATCTTTTTAAATAGGTGTTATCTTTGAATAAATATATTACTGAAATTTGTCAATATATATTTAATATAAAACATGCATTTATTCATTCCAGTACTTAAAAACTCTTTAAAACTACCATACAAGTCATATACATACAGAAAACCCAATATGTTATAGTCTGGAGCAATTTAAAGTTAGTAGCTGGAAACTATGCCAGCATTGACGTCACGCAGTTTCTGGGGCAACCTGAAATAGCGCGTGGCGAGCGCCCACAGTGAAGTAACTTAATGTTTCTCTTCTACTTGCTAACTGGAGAATCGTTAGATCGCTTAAATTTTGTATTTAGATAAAAAGAGAACAGATTTGATCATTTTGAATTCGCAACACAGAGATTTGATCTGGACAAAAGTTAACTAAATTTTATAAGTTGATAATAACATTCCAAATTATAATATATTATGCAAAGTTTATGCTTGGTAGCTCAGATGGTTAACGCTCGCTGTAAATATAACAGAACGCGAGTAACCTGGGTTCGATCCCCGCCGCCACCTATGAAATTGTTAATTGTAATTTTAAGTGCTGATTTACTACGTGCTCGGCGGTGAAGGAAAACATCGTGAGGAAACCTGCATGTCTGAAGAATAAAAAATTATTTCGAAGACATGTGAAGTTCGCCAACAAGCTTGGGGCAGCGCGGCGGACACTTCCTTGCCCTAAAACCTTCTCAGAACTGAGGGGAGGCCTGTGCTCAGCAGTGGGACGTATATAGGCTGTAACTTTACTTACTTATTTTATGTAAAGTAGTTATGTAAATGCTCTAGAAGACAAATGTATTCACTACAGAGGTTGTAATTACTCAAGAGAGCAGTGTATATAAACGTTGAAGTTTGACTCGCTAGTATGAAAAGCTGAGCAGTGTAATTTTTTTTTTCTTTTTTTTATGGAAGAGTGTGCAAACGAGCATGTGGCTCACCTGATGGAAATTGACTACCGCCGCCCATGAAAAACTGCAGCACAAGGGGAATTACAGATGTGTTGCCCCCCTTTTTAGAAAGGAGTAAGCTCTTTTCTTGAAAGCTCCCTCAGATGTGTCGGTCCGGAAAAATCGCAGGTGGTAAACGATTCCACAGAGATATCGCACGGGGAAGAAAATACCTAGTAAAACGTACAATGGTTGACCGCCCAGCATCCAGATGTTGTGGCTGGTATCGTGTGTTTCACGCGATGTTTAGTGAAATTTGGCGGCTGAAATTAATCCGAACTATTCCTCAAAGCACTCCTCGTGTTAGATGTGGTAGATGTATCTGGTACTTCTGCTATTAGTTAGGGTATTTATCTGTTAGATATACTCAGAAACATGAAAAATGACATTCACTTAATACCTTTGATCATTACTTTGTTAATCAATTGTTCTATTAGTGCATTTGTGTATAAAATATTAGCAAAATTACTATAGGGGCCTATGTTCAGCAGTGGACTCTGAAATTATGTAATAATGATATAATGATGATGATGTTAATTACTAATATTACCGTTAACTGCTCCAGGCAAGCTTTAAAAGGCTTGTGTTAGGAGTGGTTCGCGACAGTAGTCGAATAGCGGATTCAAACCCAAGACTTTTTGATGTTTATATCAGATCTCACCAAGCCAAGTAGTTGTTTAAAAGTTAGATATGCATTTTAACTCCAACGCGCAGTCGTAAGTAGCCGTGTCGCAAAAAATAACAATCCAAGGTAATCGGAGACGTGTCGGACCCTGACATTGAGGCATCACTTGGCCCGCGTCGGGTGCTATGATTGATGGAAAGGAAACACTGGCTCTTAAGAAGAGACAGGTATTTTTTTAATAGTCACGAGCTCTCAGAATCATTTATTAAGATATTTTTAAATGTTCAAAACTATATAATTAGTTCCTGTCTGCGACTTTTTTAATTACTTTTGCGAATTATTGTTAGAGATTTGGCACCGATCACTATCAACGCTCAGCGATTCATTGGATAATTACTGAACTGAAGCTAAAGTGGCGTTCTATCGGAAGACGAATTGTTAAAGCTTACTGCACATAATCTGTGATAGTTATTCTAATTAATTCTGCAAAATAATTTTGAATAGTATAGTATAGTTATGTATTATATACATATACGCATAAAGTTGAAGTACCTGCCTATAATATCTTAATAGTTCGATAGATAAAGCATTTATTTGTTTCTCCAATCACACGTAAATTCAATGACGAAACTAGGTACAAACTAACGTATTACAGTGAATAAAAAGCAAAGTAAAAGTAAAGTTACAGCCTATATACGTCCCACTGCTGAGCACAGGCCTCCCCTCATTTCTGAGAGGGTTTTAGGGCAAGGATGTGTCCACCGCGCTGCCCCAATGCGTGTTGGCGAACTTCACATGTCTTCGAATTTTTTTTTCTTATTCCACAGACATGCAGGTTTCCTCACGATGTTTTCCTTCATCGCCTAGCACGTGGTAAATCAGCACTTAAAATTGCAATTAACAATTTCATTGGTGCCGGGCAGGGTTTGAACCCGGGTTACTCGCGTTCTGTTATATTTACAGCGAGCGTTAACCATCTGAGCCACCACGGCTTTCTTCGGATAATTTTATTTATATTTATACGGATTTTATCACGGTTAATTAACTTATCTTTTTTTAATTCCCGACGTTTCGAGTGTTTACCCATAGTCACGGGGGGACTGAGATGTTTGACGTCCCAATGTCATGTAGCTACCTTCAGGTTTTGAATATTAATTTTTGGTCCAATCTACGCAGAACGAACAGTACCTTGAAATCTTGCAGTGGTATGCTTGGTTTTGGATTTAATTTTGTTAGTTATAGGGTTTCAAGCAGATGTCAGCACCAATCCGTCTTCTCAATTGAAATTAGGATGTTTTTAAATTTCAATAGCCTCGCGTATCATCCTTGGTAGGAATTGGTGTTATTTTGCGAGGATTTGTGGTGTATCAAATCTAATGTAATAATGGGGACGATCTTCAACATTTTCACGGACTACAGACTTCCCGGAGAGTCGGTGCTTCACGTCAGCTATATGTTCTTTCGCGCGGGTTTTTATAGATCTTTTTGTTTGTCCTATGGAAGAGAGACAACATTCACAATCTAGCTTGTACACTCTTGCATCTTGTAGAGGAATCATATCGTAAATCATAACGTATTAAAAAAAAATTACATAACATTAAGATCTAAAAGTACATGTGTGTTGCAGTTTAACAAATGGCTTCTAGCTCAGCGAATAATATTGCTCAGGGAGCAAACACTGATTTTCAGCTGTTACCCTCTAGATGACGAGATGAAAATGAGTACAATAGAATAATTAAACAATCACTGCCTTATTGAGCTGAGGGTATTATTTGCATGTAGTTAAGTAAAGACACGAATAACCATTTTTAAAACGTTGTACGATTGTCCAGTGTACCAGTAAATATTCTGTTTCAAAACAATTAACAAATATACAGTGATTAGATGTGCTAGCAGTACGCTTATACACAGAAGACGTCATTGTTGGATTTGATCTAACATGAGCAGTGTCTAGGTTTTATTGTGGAAGAGGGGGCATCTCAGGAATATTGAGATCGCAACTTGATCCAGCAACAGGCAAAATAGCGTCTGACAGACCAGGGTGATTGGAAACGTGCTGATCACGACGTTGCACTTCTCTTGTAGCTGATCTTCAGCAAGCAGCACACACTCTTTCCAATCTTGAGATTTAAAAAAATAACACACCGATAATAAATAATAATAAATACAGCCAGGGCTAATTTTGGAATAGCTGAATTGATTAAGTTAAACCTTACGAACAGACAGTGCCAGGAGGAGTCATGGCTATATTTTATTTAAAAAAATTGAGATTTAATCAAACCGAAATATGATAAAATAAATGGTCTTTGATAAATTTAAATCTTAATTACGTCACTTTAATAAATAGTTCCCAGGATAAGCCAGGGCGGGTTGCTGGTTATAAATATGACACATGTTTTAAAGGTTTTTAAACATAATTTGGAGAAGATTCAAGAAATACAGTCGTGAAAATGTTAATTAATTTATCAATGAACATGTTAATTTTTTTTAATAGCAAAACGTTTAAGTTTTTTACATAATACTGGTTTTACGCTATAGCGGTTTAAGTGTCTGCATAATACATGTTTTACGCTATAAAGGTTTAAGTGTCTACATAACACTGGTTTTACGATATAGAGGCTTAAGTGTCTACATAACACTGGTTTTTACGATTTAAGGTACGTTTAAGTGTTTACATATACTGGTTTTACGCTATAAAGGTTTACGCCATAGTGGATGTTCTATGCAGTGTGATGGTGGCGTCAGAGTAAGAGCTGACACACGGAAAAAAACAAGCAAGTGGGTAGCAGCATGCTCTTGATAAAAGCTCGAAATAATAAGTAAAAACTGGCTTTACGCCATGCGGAAGAACTAAAACAAATATGCTTTACGTATATGAGACAATTTATTAATAGAATACTATATAATATTAATAGAATTATACGTGGTAGAGCCATGCTGCAGTTATATTAGTAGTATAGTTGTAGTACAATGGATTTACGGCTCGACCGGGGAAGGACCACGCTCTCACAGAATACCAGCGTGAAATAGTAGCTTAAGTACTGCTATAGTATGTTCGTATGTGTGATGTGGCGTCAGAGTAACCGGAGCTGACACTTTTACGGAAAAAACAGGCATCATTAGTCAGGGTGACAACGCATCTGCATTTTGATAAAAGCTCGTAATCGAGATAGATGTAGAACTGTCAGGCTACCAAGCGAACCACTTAACACAGGACTTATGCCGTTTTGTGACCCTATCCTATAAAAAAAAAAATTTATTCATTATAGATTACAAGAATACTTAATGAAAGTCATCATCATTATCATTACAGCCCTTCACAAGTCCACTGATGAACATAGGCCTCCCCCAAAGAATGCCACAAAGCACGGTCCTGAGCCACCTGCATCCCTCGACTTCCTGCATTTCTTACCAGGTCGTCACTCCATCTAGTTGGGGATCGCCCTACACTTCGTCTACCGGTACGAGGCTCCACTTGAGAACCTTTTTTCCCTATCAGTTCTCGGTTCTTCGAGCTATATGGTCGGCCCATTGCCGCTTCAGCTTATTAATCCGTTAGGCTATGTCGGTCACACTGTTTCTACTGCGGATATCCTCATTTCTAAGTTTATCACGAAGAAAAAACCCGAGCATAGCCCTCTCCATAGCTCGCTTAGCGACCTTAAGAGCCTCATACGGCCAGAAGTGAAGGACCACGTCTCAGATCCTGTTTTCAGATCAGACAATCTAGTTTTCAGGTTTGAGGTATACCTGACGACACGATTTTTAGTAAATTTCCCGAACGCTGCCCAGCCGAGTTGAATCCGTCGATTGACCTATCTGTCGAAGTTAGATTTACCTAGTCAGACTATTGGTCCCAGGTAAACGTACTCATCAACAACTTCGAGCTTAGTGCTCCCAACAAGTACCGGCATAGATGAGAGATGGAAATTAAACATGACCTTTGTTTTGTCCATGTTCATCTTAAGACGAATCCGTTGGTAGGCACTATTGAGGTTATTGAGCATAGTGCTTAAGTCCTTCAGCGATTCTGTCATAAGGATTATATCGTTCGTAAATCGAAGGTGAGTGATGTACTCGTCATTGATGTTAATACCGCATCATTTCCAGTTCAGTAGCTTGAAAACGTCTTCCAATGCAGCGGTGAAGAGTTTCGGGGATATAACGTCACCCCGTCTTACACCTCTCTGTATTTGGATAGGTTTCGTACTCTGGTTCTCTACTCTGATAGCTATCATAGTCCTACTGTACAAACACTTCAACACTTCGATATAACGACAGTCAACTTGGCACCGTTGAAGGAACTGTAGCACCGCCGAAATTTCGACGGAATCAAAGGCTTATTTATAGTCCCCATACGCAAGGCAAATTGGCAGATTGTACTCTACAGTCTTGTGTACAATCTGACGAGGGTATGTATGTAGTCTATAGTACTTAAGCCTTTTCGAAAACCGGCTAGTTCGGGAGGCTGGAAGTCGTCAATTCTGCGTGCGAGACGATTCGTAATGACTCTCAAAACCAGCACGTAGACGCGGCTCAGAAGGAAAACCGTTCTATAGTTCTCAAAAGAGCGTTGTTGCCTTTCTTGAAGAACAAGACAACTGCACTTCTGCTCAACGCCTTCTGAGTAGTGCCACTATGGAGGACGGAATTGACGAAAGTGACAACAGTCTTTGATGTAGTAAATTATTAGTATTTTCCAGCTTTTACGATAAAATGAGAATACAATGTTTGTGCTGCATAATATCATATACCAAAATGAACGGACGACCCCACCATCGTATTGCGCTCGTTTTGGTTTTTGCGCCTCTTAGCACCGCAACCAAACGCTTAGCCACTGCGCTACGAGCGTCAATCCCAAAAAGGTACCTCTGTGTTCACCCGGTTTATTTCGTTATAATGTACATCTATAGTACATTATCTATGAAACAGTAACCTGCTATTTACGCCATATTCTGTGAGAGCGTGGTCCTCCCCGATCGAGCCGACCCATTTGTATTTTACCATAACACAGCGCGACTCTGCCACGTAAGAAATCGTCTGCCGTGGTTTAAATCGACCAGGAGGTTATTACTTGTTTATCTTGTGATATGACTATATCAAAAGTAATATAAATGAAACAAATGAACAAAAATATTTTTTAAATAAATTTCAAAATTAATTGGTAAGAAGTGGTTAAATTCCTTCACATTATCTTGTTTGCAGAATTTTTGATGGAAGTTTCATTTAGGATTTTTGGACGGATTGATGATACTGTATTTATCTTTAAATATATTAATAGTTTGAAGTGGACTTTGATAAGTAATATGGTGTGATGTTGTATATCAAATATCTACAAAAGTGAACTAAAATAAATAAATAATGTCCTTCAGACTGAATTTCGATCACGGCGGTCGGCCTAAACGTAGTAACTCAACTAGTAATCTGCCCAGGACAGGATTAAACGCCTATTCCGATGAGACAGTAATCCGACACGACCGGAGGCAAATCAAATGCAGGAACTGCATACAGCCTTACGTGCTTTCCGAGGCACGTGATTGAAATACCGCCAATTTCCAGTCTCCGGGCTGCTATTGAGAATTTCTCGACAGAAAAACTCAATAACTGATTTTTTGACCCGACCCGGGATTCGAACCCGGAAAATCATGATCGGCAGTGGCGTTTATGATTTCTAGACCAACGAGCCAGCAGTAAATTTAAACTATTAGTGAAACGATGAAACATCTCCTATAGTGTTAAGCATAAACCTTCGTTATTAGTTTTGATTTCTTGAGTTAAATACCTCTAAGTCTGCTGAGTTAGGTATCGTCTAAGCTTCGTAATGCGACGTATCAACATATTGCGAAGATATTTGTTAGCCGACTTCAAAAAAAGGAGGATGTTAACAATTCGACTGTATGTTTTTGTATGTGTGTTATGCGATATCGACATCAATTGTGAACAGTTTTTTTATAGCATTGGGTGACAAACGAGCACACTTTCTGATAAGTGGACGCTGTGGCGTATAGACGTTCACATTAATCCTCAATTAAGAATCAAAATGCAAATGCGTTGTCACCCCTGAGGACTAAAATGGAATGCCTCGATTCCAGTAAAAAGGGTCTCCGGTTCTCTACACTCGCCAGACGAAACACAGCAGTATTACGCTATTTTACGTTGGTATTCTGTGAGAGCGTTGTCCTACCCCGGTCGAGCCTACCCATTGGTGCTACAACTATACTACTAATATAACTGCAGTATGGCTCTACCGCGTATAAAAATTATTAAAATGATAATTTCTAATTATTTATTTATTTAAATAATAACAACTTAAGGCATTATCTCCCATTACCGTCAACCCTGTATGATTTGAGAAACAGTGCCAGATGTACACATAAATTTTATAAATACTTCATAAATTTTATAAATAAGTAATAAAATGAGGTACAACAAAATTCAAATAAATAGAATGTATTTAGTAAAAATATACACATACTTGATTAATCAACTATACAAAAACTTTAAATGAATAAAATATAACACAAAAATAAAATAACTTGCAAATCAACTAATTACTTGACACTGGCAAAACTAGTAGTCATAGAAGAAGATAACCAAAGAAAGAATACATAGAGAGATTTTCAAACGAGCTCGACTTACGTTCATATAAGGTAAATTGAAAACTATCCATATTTAGTTTGGCGCATAAAAAAGTACAAAGCCCTCCAATTTAACCCTTTCGCTGTCATATGTACTAGATATAATGCATAGCTATTATCTTACTATTGGGTCTCAAAATCGGACAGTGAATTTATTAAAGCAGCTGGATCAGCTTATCATAAAAATCTTCGGCCTAGCTCCACCTTGAATGGTCTGAGAGCTCCACAAAAGGAGTTGTCTAGTCTCTTAAGCTAGCCTACATCGTTGACTGCTAACATTATATTATGTACGTGTAAATAGGAATGGAAATATTTTTATTTTATCACATGTGCTGTTTTTTATAGAATATTGCTTAAAAAATTTAAGCGTAGGAACGAACTATGTTATGATGTCCTGATGTACAAAAACAATGTGATGTTCTGTGTGATGGCGGGAAATAGAATACGGAATACCAGCGTAAAATAGTAGTTTAAAACTGCTGTGTTTTATATGGTGGGTGTAGAGAACCGGAAACCCTTTTTACTGGAAACTAGGCATTCCATCTTGGTCCTCAGGAGTGATAAAGCATCTGCATTTTGATTCTTAATCAAGGATAGATGTAGATGTCTCCGGGCCACAACATCCACTTACCATCAGGAGGACTGTGTGCTTGTTTGTCACCTTAATTCTATAAAAAAAAGATCACCGCACTTCGTCCCGTGTTCTCGACGCCTGGATTACAATGTCCAGACTGGAACTGAGGAGCAGCGTCGAATGAGCGTGACATCTAGTACTGCGATTGTGAATCCGCCCGCCAACCGGAGCCATTATGGAATATCCTACAAGTATCAATGTTTTAGTCCTATCCATGTATACTGTAGAGCACCTGAGACATCAGTGCCGTAAAATTCGCAAAGATTAGTTTTATTCTAGAACCTAAATTATTATATAAATCAATTGTTCCAAAATATTCACCAATTACAATTATCATCACAATCGGAATTTGTAAGAATTCAATCACTTCAAAAAAAAAGTTATAACTATACTGGATGACTTTTTTACTCTCTGGAAGTAAAATAGGGTTAACATGTCAACGGAGTAGAAGCTTATGGCACTGATATTTTCCCAAAAATAAAAACAAGAGTTTTGTATTAATTAATTATTTCAAAGAGAAAAAGAACAAATCATATCCACCCTACCTACATACTTTACGAACGACAATAAAACAATAAATTTAGTAGGCATCTTTGATCTTGTCACTTCGCAGGGTCACAGGCTAGGGTGGATATGATTTGAATTTCGATAGATTTTAATTAATTTAATTCAAAATGTTTGTTTTCATTTTTTGTAAAATATCAATACCAAAGGCTTCTACTCCGTCCACATGTTACACCAAATTTTTTCCAGGCAGTAAAAATGGTCATCCAGTATAAACAACGTTTTAGTTGTCACCTTGACCGTGTATTATTGTTCAGATCACTCAAAAAGAGTTCAATTACTACACTTAAAATATGTAAAAATCGACATCAAAAAATTTTAAAGAATAAAATAATTTCCCGATAATATAATTTACTACGTAACTCGCAACTTCAATTGCTCGATACACTTCTCACCGACGTAGTGACGTTTAGGTTCAACGCACTAATTTGCATCTTTTAATTTTATCTTCAGACGTTTCTTTTTCTAAAAAGAGAACGTAAAAAATCTTGAGATCACCATCTGTGTATTATCGTGTATCAAGTGGTAAAGTACCATTTAAAAAAACCATATTGTGTCTTAGATGCAAGGAACACAACCACAACTCAAAGATTTTCTGTATCGTAGAGGCGTTTAACGTTCATAAATTGCACATGTACAACCATTAAAATTCGGAACAATTATTCGTAGGCATATAAACACCAGTTCCTTTCGGGACTCAAACCCGTGTTACCGAGCCGTCACTATTTATGCTTTTTTTGTGATTAGATTGATACAATTCCACCCATATATATGCATTTTGTAACTAATATCTTGTGTCGCAGTATCCCTGAAGTAAATAAACTTGCATGTTATATATCCATTTTCTAACGCATGTCCCGTCCTCCAGGAAACCGCGGCTGGATTCCGAGTTGAACGTCCAGGCTCAACTACTGGACGCTTCTGCTGCCAAGCACAAGTTAGCTGTACGACCGAAAAAGAATCATCCGAAGAGCAAAACGAAGTCGTATAAAACTGCTGATGAAGAAAGGTATTTATTTATAAATGCTCTTTGATGAAAAAAGCTAAATAGTGTATTTCAACTTATCGTCCTTGTCATTATACAGTACGCGAGCAAACTGTCAGCACCAATTTAATTATATTAATTGATATAATAGATTGTTTTCCATTTTTAAAATTCTTTTTTCGTAATTTAGGATCTGTGTTGCACTTTGAGACTATATATTACGTTATAATATCCCTTAAAATAAGGATTTTAGTTCATTATAACGGTTATATTCCACCTGAAACGTAACTCTGACATACATTTTCGTAAAACGCTATAGTTGGGTTGTATTCGCTGTAAAAAAAAAACAACATTAAAAATATAATTTTGCTCATGTAGTGTACTAAATAAAGACTTCTAAGACTGTAATTTTCAGAAAATAATCTGTTCGCATGATTACGATATTGCCCTTTAAAAATACCTAAAATTTGAAGTTTCTGACGCGAATCGTCTGCGACCTCTTAAATATTAATTTACCACATGCTCGACGGAGAAGTAAAACATGGTAAGAAAGCTGCATGTCTGCAATCATCATCATTAAAGCATATCGATTATTGAACATAGGCCTGCCCACGTTGCCATGATTGACAGGCGTTTTGGCAACCGCAGTGGGCAGTATTGGATAATTTTTGAGGTGTTATCTGTTTCATTTCCCTCTGTCGCCTCACCGTTGAGACCTTTGTCACCACACAATTGAGACCTCTGTCACCTCACCATTGAGACTACTGTCGCCTCCCCATTGAGACCTCTGTCGTCTCACCATTGAGACCTCTGTTGCCTCACCATTGAGACCCCTGTCGCCTCATCAGTGATACCTCTGTCGCCTCACTATTGAGACCTCTGTTGCCTCACCATAGAGACCTCTGTCGCCTCACCGTTGAGACCTCTGTCGCCTCACCATTGAGGCCACTGTTGCCTCACCATTGAGACCTCTGTTGCCTCACCATAGAACCTCTTCCTCAGTTGAGACCTCCCTCACCATAGGCCAATGTTGCCTCACCATTGAGACCTCTGTTGCCTCACCATTGAGACCTCTGTTGCCTCACCATTGAGACCTCTTTTGCCTCGCCGTCGAGAGCGTAGTCCTTCCCCGGTACTGCTACTATATTTAAAGCTGCAGTGTGACTCAACCACGTATTACACGAGTAAGTGTGTAAAATATGTACCAAGAGACGTGAACTAAACGTAGTGATTTATATACTCTTTGTTCTGAACAAACAAACTGATTTATTGTGACGTCAGATTTCGTTCTACTAGGTCTTCATAAACCAAAATAGTCTTCAGACATGCCCTATATACAACAATGAAGTATCATGCATTACTCCGCTCGCGACAAAGACTGGAACAAATTAGCAGTACACTGACCGACTTTGTAGCTTGCGCTGCCAAATCGCATATATTTTAACACTTAACAAGCTCAATATTATGCAACGCCGTATGAAATATGTTTCTTTTTAGGTGACCCCGTTGCGAATATTACAAAATTGCTAATGTAGAGGGAATTTTGTAGTAAAAGCTACTCTAGAATAAATATTTATTTGTCTACTTTATTTTAAATAACCACATATCTTAAAATTTAAAGATGTAAACAAATTACCAGTTACGATTTGTTGTTATAAATAACTTGCAAATTGACACGTTCATCAGGATGTGTTTATAACAAGAACCATATTAAGTTTTTCGAGTCGGTTATAGTCAAGAAAAAATAGTTTATGAAATCCATAAATAAAGATGAATTTAACGACGATTCAACTGTTAGTTTACAGTAGGTTATACACTCGTACATATTCACATACGTATATACATATATCTCACACAGACCAACCTTAAAAACATAACCTTCTTTTAGAAAAGTCATCGTGAAAGGTGACCTTTTAGTAGAAAATTCTAGAAAGTACTCTTGATTAATGATAATATAAATAATGTAAACAACATACTAAATGTTATAAAGACTGACATGCAGCAGCTATATTATGGTTGTAGCACGAAGAGGATCGACCGGGGCTTTATGTCTTGGAATAACACATTGGCTATGATTTATCGAACGTTGTTTCTTCTGCCGGCGAAGCCGCGAGTAAAAGCTAGTAAGTGTATTATCTAATTGATCTAGCTAATAATCTTAGAAGGTTTCGCTTTACATATTCGTATTACGTTGACGCTGAGTTATTGAAACATGGATTGTATCTTCGAAAACTCGGTCAAGATTATACAAGAACAGGCGATTTATTTTCAGTCTGTGACAAAGTTAATATTGAAATATTACACTCACAGTATCCAATATGGATTCGGGTCGTATTGTACCCAATATAATCGTCTCTGGCTTGCAAAACAACTTAAAAAAATTTAATGTTTGTTTTTACTTATATTAATGGTAACATCCCGACCGGATAGAAAATGATTTGAGTTTTTGGACAAATATTGATTAATACTAGCACTCACGGTCAAAACATTATGAACTGGCTGATCACCCACGCGGTTGTCATCGATTTGACAATGCATAACAACACATTAACTTAGATCCATTCGGAATAATAAAACACTGTAAAAAAATTGTCTCTAAACGCCTGAGCTGCGTCTACCTAGTGAAACTAATGGTATCTCATCTAATGATTGTCCACGAGATAAATCGTATTGCACCGCATATAAAATGGATAGGTGGCACAGATTGTTTTGCGGGGACCGCCTGTTAGAATAATTTGCGAAGGCGGGCCCGGCCGCTTTATCACTTGTCTCTTAATTTATTACAATTGTCGGAGTTTTCGGAATGTTTAATTTTACATTTAATACGACAATCAAAAATTAATTTATGATTCTCGTGTGACAAATATCTTGTTCTCAAAGAATCATAGATTTAGATTTTAAACAGAAGAAAGAAATAAAATTTAATAGTCGTGCGGTAAGAGAATCCGTCATCACTTTTTATCACGTGGGCATCACAAGAGGCGTCTTTATAAAATATGAGCAGGATTTTAATGGATTAAAATGGAATTTCTCTGATCGGAGATTGGACAGTTCTAAAATCTAGCAATTAGCTTCGTACATGCTAAAGGCGCTAGAGAAGCAAAGGTCCGTGGATATTATTAGGGAAAAAAAACCACCCAAGCAACAACCACCAAAAAAGAGAAAAGACAACCCACAAAAAAAAAAAAAACCCCCCCAGGCCCCCAAAAACCCCCCCCCCCACCCCCCCCCGCAAGTATACAGCAGGAGTAAAGTTATTTTTATATAGAATAAGAGTAAGAAACGAGCGCAAAGTCCTCTTGATGGTAAGTAGATGCTGTGTACCATAGGCATCTACTTTTATCCTTGATTAAGAATCAACCAGCTGATTAGTGATCGCCAATACGGTTTTCACCGTGGTCGATCAGCTGGTGATCTTCTGGTCTACCTAACTCATAGATGGGAGGAGGCAGTAGAGTCGAAGGGGGAGGCATTGGCCGTTAGTTTGGACATTGCCAAGGCCTTCGATCGGGTTTGGCACAAAGCACTTCTTTCACAGCTCCCTTCCTATGGGCTTCCGGAGAAATTGTGCAATTGGATCACCAGCTTTCTTGCAGGTCTGAGCATCAAGGTCGTTGTAGACGGTGCAAGCTCTGATTACAAGCCTATTAATGCTGGTGTTCCACAAGGCTGCATGCTATCGCCAACGCTGTTTCTTCTGTATATCAACGATATGTTGCAAACCCGTTACATTCATTGCTATGCAGGTGACAGCACAGGTGTTGCTCTGTACAATGCATGCAACATGCAAATGCCGTGCCAATATTTCTCGGGAAAACGTCTCCGAGTATCATCGAGAGTCGAGTCTTTGCTGAACAGAGTTTCGGATTGGGGGCGACTAAATCTAGTCCAGTTTAACCCTCAGAAGACACAAGTTTGCGCGTTAGCTAAAAACCCCTTTGCGTATCTCCTCAGTCTCAAGGCACTCCCCTTGTTGCCTCAGCCAGTATCGTAATCCTTGGCGTCGACATATCGAGGGACGTGCAGTTTCGTGGTCACTTGGAAGAGAAGGCCAAATTGGCCTCTAAAAAGCTTGGCGTGCTCAGCAGAGCGGGACAGTATTTCATGCCGACACACCGCCTGCAACTTTACAATGCGCAGGTTCGGCCGCACATGGAATACTGTTCCCATCTCTGGGCTGGAGCTCCCCAGTACCAGCTCCTTCCACTTGACCGCATCCAGCGCAGAGCGGCTCGAATCGTCGACGACCGAGTGCTTTCCGATCGGCTCGATTCACTGGCGCTGCGAAGCGATGTTGCATCTCTTTGCGTATTTTCTTTCGCATCTACCACGGGGAGTGCTCTGAGGAAATGTTCGGATTAATCCCGGCGGCCAAATTTCGTGAACGCACTACGCGGCAAACGTTCCGATACCATCCACAACATCTGGATGCTTGGCGGTCCAACACTGTACCTTTCACAAGGAGCTTCCTTCCGCGTACGACCTCTCTGTGGAATAGTTTACCACCGGCGATTTTTCCGGCCTGATACGACCTGGGGACCTTCAAGAAAAGAGCTTACTCCTTTCTAAAGGGCCGGCAACGCACCTACAATTCCCCTGGTGTTGCGGTTGATCATGGGCGGCCGTAGTCACTTAACATCAGATGAGCCGCATGTTCGTTTGCTTCTCTACCTAATCAGTTTTCTATAAAAAAAATCAAAATGTAGATGCATCACCCCTTTGTCACCCCTGAGGACCAAAATGGAATGCCTCGTTTCCAGTAAAAAAGGTCCCTGGTTCTCTACACTCAACATACGAAACCGCAGCATTTTAGAATTAGTAGTTCTTTTATGGGGCAATGTTATACGTTTTTACAACAAAATCCCAGAAAATGTACACAGCTTATCAATAAAGAAGTTTAAAGGTTTAATTAAAGAAAAATTGTTCAAAAAGATTATTATAATATTCAAGAATACATTAATGAAAATAACCCCTGGGAATGTGGCGATCGCTACCATGCTGGTTCTATTAAAATTCATTTAAAA